AAAAAAAAAAAAATTATGTAATTGTGGCTATCAACCTAAAATTGCCAACTTTTTGTCATGCCAAGTCATTGTTGAAATTATCACTATTTTTTGTTACCTCATTTCATTAAGGGGAAGCTATTTTAACATGAAAAAAGAGAAAAGACATTGCACTAGAACAAAGGGCGGGCATTTAAAATAAATTAGTTCAGTTTTATGAAAACCTCCACGATAGCGTCCTTATCTTTTTAATTTTGGCACTAGTGAAAATGTTATCACAGGGTGATATTTGGGAAACACTGGCCTGAATGAGACGTCACTGAGAAAGTGGGCTTTGCCCGGACCAAGCACAGCGAAGAGAGAGGGATTGTCAAGTGCATCAAGGAGCGAGAATAATCACCTGGAGGTGGTAATGGCTGGGGCCCACAGGAGGGGCAATGAAGGATAGCGGAAATGTAAGTGATACTAGGGAATGGGGCACTTTAAAACCCAGGGAGAAATTCAGATTTGCCGTAGAATACAATGCACAGCCATTGGAGCTTTTTGAGCCTCAGAACATGAAAATGGCATTTCAAAAGATCGATCTGGTGGCTTAATGTCGTGTGAACTTGGGAGGCTTGAGTGGGGGCTGGGGACCCTGTTGCTCTTAGATTAAGTTGCGAGTGGGTGGAGCCCAGAATAGGAGAGTGGGTACACAGGTAGGGGAAAGGTCAAGTTCAAGAAACTTCAGAAGAAAGAAAAGATAGGACTTGGTGACACACTTAAACATAAGAGGAGGGAGGACTGAAAATTACAGCCAAAGTTTCTAGCCTTGGAGAATTGAAAAATAGTGGAAATATTGACACAAATTAGAAAATATGTGTAATTTTATTTATATATTTATTGAAATATAGTTAATTTACAACGTCATGTTAGTCTTAGGTGTACAGCACAGTGATTCATTTATACATATATGTATATGTACATATATATGTTCTCTTTCAGATTCTTTTCTCTTACAGGTTATTACAAAATATTGAGTAGAGTTTCCTGTGCTATACAGTAGGCCCTTGTTGGTTATCTATTTTATATATAGTAGTGTGTATTTGTTAATCCCAACCTCCTAATTTATCTCTCTCCCCGACAATTTCTTAGTTGATGTAATAAAGTACTAAATTTGTGTTGTAGCTTATCCTGGGAGTGGGTGAAACCACAAATAGTATTTTGTGGACTCTATGCTTCTGTCAGGGACCTGGGAAAGAAGCTTGATTTACTGATTGAATGTTAGCAAAACACTTCCTTCCCATGTGTTTTCAGAAGCTAAGTGAACATTATGTACTTCGTTCTTTCTTTACCCCCCCAAATTAGGAAACTATGGTATGTGATTAGGAAATTACGGGATTTAGACATGATTTGTCCAAGGTAGAGGGGCACTTCAGAGTTGGAGCTGAAGAAACCATGCGGTGTGTACTCTGAAAAAACAAGCTTCATTTTCTCTAAGAGTAAATGTCTCTTTTGCTCAGTTGTATCCCCAGAATCTCACTCATAATTGGTGCATATTTCTTTAAAAATGAGTGGTAGATCTAGATAGAGTGGGATTTTATGCTGTGTAATAAATTATCTTTTATCATATCTGGTAGAGAGGACAAAGAGAATTCTATCTCAAGATCGCAAAATTTTTCTACTAGGAGAAATCGTATGTCATGAACTAAACTCAGTGTGACCCTAAATGATCTTTGCACAAAATCGAGGCAAAGTTCTCTTTGTGCTGACTCTATTGAAACCCTTTCCACTTTTTGATATAACCAAATTCCACTGGAATGACTCTTAAATTAAGACATTGCTAATCTTGTACATATGAACAAGACATTGCTAGTCTTATACATATGAACATATGTACATAATCTTTTTGAGATGTTACCAGAATTCTTCCAGTCAGAAGCAATCCAGCATCAGCACCTTGGAAAAACAAAAGCCCCGAGCTGGTTGGATAATGTTTGAGGCTGGAGGTGAGGGAAGTTGGGGCCAGAGTCTGACAGGTCTGGAGTTTTGCAATGGGAAGCCACTGGGGAATTTCTAAAAAGGAAAGAGACATGAGATTTAAAGTTTGAAGAGATGACTTTGTGATAGCTGATGTTGGGAGCTTGAACAAGGGTGGAGATGGTGAGAAGTCAGCACCCTTGAGAGAGGCTGGGAAGTCAAAGCGCGGCGTACAGATTCTGGCCTCTGTGCAGCTGATGGTGTTGCTGATGACCTGAAGTCCTGAACCCTGGGGGAGGACCAGGTTTCTAGGCAGATTGCGAAGATTTCAACTTAAGTTTTGGAAGCAGCTGTGTAAAAGCAAAGGGAAGTGGAAGGAAACAGGACATCACAGGCCTATTTGAGGAGAGTTGAAAAAGGTGGCAGATTTAGAATTATCATAAGAAAATTAATCGCTTTCCTATAACCAAATAACAATTGAAAAGTGCAATGAAAAAAAAAAAGAACAGGTATCTTGACGATTTTAAAAAGGAAAAAGAAAGTGCAATGAAAGGAACTCTCCCATTTACAATAGTAACAAAAACCGAAACACTTAAGAGTAAACCCAACTAGAAATGTAGAAAACGTTTATGAAATATACGTTATGAAAATGTCACTTAAAGGCATTAAAGAAGAATTTAATAAATGGATAAATATGCTACATTCAAGAATGGGAATACTTAATATTGTAAAGAGGTAAATTCCCCTCAAATTTATTTATGAAGTCATTTTTTTTAAACTTGCTGAAAATAATTCTAAAGGTAAATGGGAAAAAATAAGCATGTGAGACTATCCAGGAAAATGCTAAACAAAGTAATGATGAGGTTTTAGAGGCATGATGCAGTTTCTATTTACACATTTGTGAGTTTGCATATTTTCATAAGTACATATTACCTTTGTAATTAGAGAAACAAGAAATAAAACACTAACAGGAGCTGTAATAAATTATGATCTAGCCACAGAAAAGATGGAAGAGTTTGTATGTGTGTATGTATATGTGTGTGTGTGTGTGTGTGTGTGTGTGTGTGTGTGTTTCCACTGGAAAGCAATGGTATAAGGATTACACTGGGGAGGAAATATTAATGCTGACTATACAGAAATAAAAAGGATTATCAGAAGATACTGTAAACAACTGTGTACCAACAAATTGATAACTTAGGTGAAATCGACAAGTTTCTAGAAAGCCATAATCCTACCAAAGCTGATTTGAGAAGAAATGGAAAATCTGAATAGACCTATAAAGAGTAAAGAAATTATGGATTAGTAATTGAAAACACTTTCTACAAAGAAAAGCCCAGGCACAGTAAAAGGATCAATTATGCACCGTAACCAGGTGGACTTTACTGGGTTGGCCAAAAAGTTCGTTTGGGTTTTTCCATAAGACGTTACAGAAAAACCCGAACGAACTTTTTGGCCAACACAATATCTCAGACTGTTAGGTTGGTTTAACATTGAAAATCAGTTAATGTACTACATATATCAGTAGGTAAAGGACAAACACCAGATGATCATCTCAAGAGATGTAGAAAAAGCATCTGACAAACGCTAACACCTTTTCATGATAAAAGCACTCAATACGCTAGGAACAGAAGGAAATTTCCCCAACCTAATAAAGGGCATCTATGAAAAACCCACAGCTACTGTCATACTCAATGGTTGAAAATTTGAATGCTTTCCTCCAAAGATCAGGAATAAGACAAGGATGTCCACCCCTTCTATTCAATGTTGTATTGAAGGTACTGGGCAGTTAGACAAGGAAAAGAAAGAAAAGGCATCCAGATTTTGAAGGAAGAAATAAAATTATCTCTATTTGCAGATGATGTGATCTTATATATGAAAATTCAAAAGTATTAGAGATAATAAAGGAGTTCAACAAAGTTGAAAGATACAAGTTGAATATACAAAAGTCAGTTATATTTCTGTACACTAGAAATGAACAATCCAAAAGTGAAATTAAGAAAACAGTTCCAGTCGCTGGCTCGCAACTTTGGGGAGTTTCAAGCAGCCACAGTGACGGCAGCAACCCTGGACGCAGGAAACGTCTGGTCCGGCTCTGGTAATGAGAGGCCCTAAGATCCCAGAGGTACCATATGAGAAGTCTGGAATGTGTTGGGGACTTGGCTTCCTGCAAACATTGGTTAAGAATCCGCCTGCCAGTGCAGGGGACACGGGTTCTATCCCTGGTCCGGGAAGATCCCACATGCCACAGAACAACTAAGCCCGTATGTCACAACTACTGAGCCTGCACTCTAGAGCCCGTGAGCCACAACTACTGAGCTCACATGCTGCAACTACTGAAGCGCACGCGCCTAGAGCCCGTGCTCTGCAATGAGAGGCCACCGCAATGAGAAGCCCATGCACCACAACAAAGAGTAGCTCCCACTGGATGCAACTAGAGAAAGCCCACGCGCAGCAACGAAGACCCAACGCAACCAAAAATAAATAAATAAATAAAATTGATTCTTTAAAAAAAAACAAACTGTAACTTTGTTTGAATTACTCCAAAGTTGATATCTTCTTCAAAAATAATAAAGAAGAAATATTGCAAAATTAAAAAAAGGAAAACAATTCCATTTATAATAGCATAAAAATAATAAAATATTTAGGAATAGACTGAATAAAAGAAGTATAAAATGTATACTCTGAAAATTACAAAACAGTTAAAATTAAAGAAGACATAAATAAGTGGAAGAACATCTCTTGTTCATGGATGTGAAGATTTAATCTTGCTAAGATGACAATACTCCCTCAATTCACCTATAGCTTCAGTGAAATCCCTATCAAAATCCAGGCTGGCTTTTTTGTAGAAATTGACAAGCTGATCCTAAAATTCATATGACAGTTGAACAGATCCAGAATAGCCAAAACAATCTTGAAATAGAACAAAGTTTGAGCACTCATACCTCCCAGTTTCAAAACTTACCACAAAGCTATGGTAATTACTGTGGTCTAAATGTTTGTGTTCCCCTCAAATCATAGGTTGAAGCCCTACCCCAAAAGTGATAGTATTAGTAGGTGGGGCCTTTGGGGCAGGTACTTAATTCATGAGGGTAGAATCCTAATGAGTAGGATTAGTGCCTTATAACAGAGATGCCAGAGAGATTCCTAGCCCCTTCTGCTCTGTATAAATAAAACGAGAAGTCTGCAAACTGGAGGAAAGCCTTCACCCAACCATGCAGGTACCCTGATCTTGGACTTGCAGCCTCCAGAACAGTGAGAAATAAATGTTTGTTGTTTATAAGCCACCCAGTCCCATAGTATTTTGTTATAGCAGACTGAGTGGACTAAGACAGTAATCAAGACAGAGTGGTCATGGCATGAGGAGAGACCTGTAGATTGATGGAATAGAATTGAGTGACAACAGATAAGCTCTCACATTTACAGTGAATTGATTTCCAACAAGGGTGTCAAGATAATTCAATGGGGAAAGAATAGGCTCTTTTTTTTTTTTTTTTAAGAATAGGCTTTTAAACAAATGTTGCTGATACAGCTGGTTTATCCACTTGCAAAGGAATGAAGTCGGACCCCTTCTTCACATCAAATATAAGAACGAACTCAAAATAGATCATAGAGCTAAATGTCTATTTAAGAGCTAAAATTATAAAAGAAAGCTAAAAGTATAAAACCCTTAGAAGAAAATACAGGAGTAAATCTTTGAGACTTTTGGTTAGGCAAAGTCTTACTAGACATGACACCAAAAGCACAAGCAACCAAAGAAAATAGATGCATTGGACTTGATCAAAATTAAAAACTTTGGTGTTTCAAACAAAGTATAAAGCCAGCCCGCAGAGTAGGAGAATATTTGCAAATCACATATCTGATAAGGATATTTTATCTATAGATACGTAGATATTTATATACAGTTGGTATCTGCTGGGGATTGGTTCCAGGACCCCCACCCCCACCCCGATGGATACTGAAATCCATGGATGCTCAAGTGGCTTATATAAAATGGCATAGTATTTGCATATAATCTATGCATAATCTATGCATATCGTCCCATATACTTTAAATCATCTCTAGATTACTTATAATACCTAATACAATGTAAATACTATATAAATAGTTGCCCGGGGTACAGCAAATGCATTTTGCTTTTTTGGGACTTTCTGGAATTAAAAAAATATATTTTTTCATTTCATGGTTGGTTGAATCCATGGATGTGGAACCTGTGATATGGAGTGGTGGCGGGGTGCAACTGAATATAGATATCTATAGATAAGGGTATTTAGAATATACAAAGAATTCTCACAACTCAATAGTAAAAAGGCAAATAGCCCAATTTAAAAATGGGCCAAAAAAAAAAAATCTAAATAGAAATTTCTCCAAAGAAGATATATCAATAGCTAATAAAGCACACAAAAGGATGCTCAAAGTCATTAGTCATCAGAGAGATGAAAATTAGAACCACAGGGATATAAAACCACGGAGACCGACAATAACAAGGATTAGTGAAGATGGGGAGAAACTGGAACCCTCATACACTGCTGGTGGGAATTTAAAATGGTGCAGATGCTGTGGGAAACATTCTGCCAGTTCCTAAAAATGTTAAACATATAACTCAGCAACTTCATTCATAGGTTTACAAGAGAAATAAAAATATAAGTCTACACAACAACCTGGACAACGTTATTCACAATAGCCAGAAAGTAGGAACAAGCCAAATGCCCATCACCTGATAAGTCGGTAAAGAAAATATGGTATATCTATACAATAGAATATCACTCAGTCATGAGAAGGATTGAAGAACAGATTCATGCTAAGTGAAAGAAGCCAGTCACAAAATACCACATATTCTATGATTCCATTTATGTGAAATGTCCAGAATAGGCGAATCCAGAGACATAAAGTAGATGAGTGGTTGCTAGGACTAGTGGGGTTTGAGGTTAAATAAAGAGTGATTGCTGATGGGTACAGGATTTCTTTTTTGGGGATGATGAAAATGTTCTAAGTTGATTGTGCTGATGGTTATACAACCCAGTGAGTATGTTACAAACCGATGAATTATACACTTCAAATGGATGAATTGTATAGTGTATGAATTATATCTTGATAAAAATTGTTATATAAAAAAATACTAAGTGAAAAGGTTGCAGAACAATATATAATATGAATATATTTTTGTGAAATAGTATAAGTTCATAATAAAACACTATATTCTTAAAAATTAGCAAAATTTGTGAAGTTTGTGTAAGTGTAAGAGACATTAGTGATAATAGTAGCTTTAATCATGTAACAAATCTGGTGACAAAATTTCTTACCAGTAATCGATCCCCCCTCATTAATAAAATACAACAATTAGTATTTATTGCATTCTTTCTGTATGCCAACATTGTGCGAAATTCTTATCATGCATTTTGTCTTTGTTTTTCACAACACTTGATGATGGCCCCGTATTTTCTGTAACTCTCCCCTTTCTTTCTCCAACATACCAAAGTTTACATTTACAAAATTGTATTATTTATCAGAATATCAAAAATGGACAGTTCCTTTTATTGTTAGCAGTAGCTATGAAGGTACATACTGTAGGTCTTAATTGGAATTGGTATTAATGTGATCCTGTGAGTTTTAAGAGCACATTGATAAATCCATCTGCATGTGTTTAAAGATTTTAAGTTTAAACTAAAACATTTTGCATTTGTTATAGTTGATGCTCAATGGAAGGAGAAAAGACTTTTTGTTACTTGTCAGCTTTTTGTTTAATGTAATGCTAAATTTGAAAGACAATCTATGGCAAAGATAATTTTGAGGGTTTTTTTCCCCATTGCAAATATAGGCTAGTGCCTCAGTCAGTTTGGGCCGCTATAACAAAATTCAATGGACTGGTGGCTTAAACAACAAACATTTATTCCTTGTAGTTCTGGAGGCTAGAAAAGCTGCAGATCAAGGTGCTGACAGATTAGGTTCTTGGGGAGGGCCCTCTTCCTGCCTTCTTTCTTGCTGTGAGAGCAAGCTCTGTGGTCTCTTTTTTATAGGGGCACTAATCCCATCATGAAAGCCCCATCCCCATGACCTCATCTAAACCTAAGCACTTCTCAAAGACCCCACCTTTGAAAACATCACATTGCAGGCTAGAGCTTCATCATATGAATTTTGGGTGGGGATACGATTCTGTCCATAGCAACTAACTGTGATGGAAATCTTGTCCATAAGTGCTAACCCTAGCATTTTTTTGTTTGTGTTTAGTATTATGTGCCAAGAACCTTGCAAAGAAAGACTTCTTCAGTAAGTAAAACAGCCATTTTTGCTCTCTTACAATATTAATGTTCTTCACATATTTCTGAAATTTAAAACTTAAAAAAAAAAGCAACCCTGGGAGTATTCTCCTAAAAGTCCTGCCGTTTGCTGACTAGAAATCCACAGTTTGACAAGCTTCCTTTCCCAGTTGTCTACCACATAGAGACTCCGTAGCTCCAAGGCACAGAATTTATAACTCATACGAGAGCAACTCTCTCTCATTCCCTATTCCGGCCACCACCCTGTTTTCTCTCTTTCCATCCATTCATGTATCGCTTTCTGCTGGGTGAAGTATCCTCAGCTCCAATACAGACAAGACATTTTTCTATAAAACGTCTGGGTTTGAGTAAAATTGTTGGTGAAATTTGATCAATTAAATCACACTTTAAAAGCCTTGTAATTAAAGGAATTGTAATAAAAATATAAATGGAGGATCCTTTTCTAAAGGAAGGAATCACCTCATAAGAAGTTTGCCTACTATAAAGTAGGCGCCTGCAGCATGATATTTTTCACTCTCTTTCTGATCCTCACAAGAATGCTGCTCAGTTCCTAGGTGGTTCTACTCATGCTTTAAAGGTAAAGAAACTTAGGTTCGCAGGCTTTATTCAGTTAGCTAAGAAGCTCCAGAGTGATGGCTCACGTCCAAGTCTATCTCTAAAACCCTTACCTGGCCACCTCTCTGATCTTATAAACCTGTCTGATTCATACTCCAGCATTTAGGAACTTACCTAATTAAAACTCGGTGAGTACTTGCTTCCAGAGATAAAATAGACGAAGACCAGTAAACAAGATTTCTAGGTATTATTATTTTTTAGAAAGTATAAATATAAATAATTGTAGACACCTTTCCCTCCATTTAGCTAGCCCCACTGAGTGATCATCAGAAATGGAAATTTGAATTTAAGCCTATTTTTAGAGTTTTCATTTCTAGCCTCTAAAAATCTGAGGAGGATGTCATTCTGGGTTGTCTTTCTTAGAAAGCTTAATGGAAATAATTTATTTTGCTGATTGAAACTAACCTTAAACTTGAGAATAAAATGTACCAGGGTAGTCTTAATCAAATAGATGACCTTGAAGCTCGCTTTACTTGCAGCACTGGGTTCTGTCTTCTCATCCAGTGTGGCTGTCCCCTCTCCTCTAGGACTCCCTGACCCTTTTGCAAAGATCGTTGTGGATGGATCTGGGCAGTGCCACTCAACGGACACTGTGAAGAACACGTTGGACCCAAAGTGGAACCAGCACTACGATCTGTGAGTTGATTGTCCTATAAGCCACTTGGGGAGCGGCAGGAAAGTTGGTATCTAACTTGTAAGAGAAGCATTTAATTTTTTTTTTTTTAAAAAGGGATTATTAAACTTCTTACTGATAACAAACGTGGATGGCCAAACAAATACATACTGCCTACTTTTAGAATTCATATACTTGGAAGTTCTTGTGTTTGACATTTTCATACATTTTAATGGTTTGCTTCTGTAACTGTGGTCTTCAAACTTTCAATCTCCTGGCCATACTAAGAGGAAAAAAGGGCCATAGTTCAGGTCCTCTATATGCTACTGTTTTTTTCAGCAAAACCCAGAACATGGTTGTAAAATGCATTATTTGAAATACATTATTATTAGTAGTAGTATTTTATTTGTTTAGATGTTGACGGTAGGAGTTTATTAATTAATTTATTTTTGCTGTGTTGGGTCTTCGTTTCTGTGTGAGGGCTTTCTCTAGTTGTGGCAAGCGGGGGCCACTCTTCATCGCAGTGCACGGGCCTCTCACTATCGCGGCCTCTCTTGTTGCGGAGCACAGGCTCCAGATGCTCAGGCTCAGTAGTTGTGGCTCACGGGCCTAGTTGCTCCGCGGCATGTGGGATCCTCCCAGACCAGGGCTCGAACCTGTGTCCCCTGCATTAGCAGGCAGATTCTCAACCACTGAACCACCAGGGAGGCCCCCATTATTATTATTTTACATATTTATGATACAAATATAATATATATATATATTTCTGTTGATTTTTAAAAAAATTTTGCTTTTTAGTACAAATATATTTTCTGCAAGAGAAAATAAAGTTTGGTATGACTGGAGGTATATAAGCCCACACACCATCAGACAATTTCTTATATTCATTTGTTAAATGGATTGCACTTTGAAAATCTATTTTGTAGGCACCTATGTTTTCATGTCCCTGCTAAGAAATGTTTGTCCAAGTAATGCTGAGTGATTATTATTGGCTTTTTACTAACACAAATTGAACTGTGTTTGAGTGGGATGTTTAGTAGTTGGATCCTGAGGCTCATTTGCAGTTACACTGTGGCACCGGAAGTAGCCTGGAATGTGGTTGTCAGTCCATGTCCCGAAAGCTCCCTTCTGTGGTTGACCTACACTGAGAGAAAGTGGCAGCTTTCCTCTCTGAGTTAGTGCCCTTTTGTGTACTTTGGATGGATGGAGGGTTTGTAAGTAGTCCCTTGTTGCAAATTAGTATTCTCTATTAAGCCTAATTGGTGGGGTTTTGGTTTTTTTTGGCCACACCATGTGGTATGCAGGATCTTAGTTCTCCGACCAGGGATCGAACCGGTGCCCCTGCAGTGGAAGTGCAGAGTCTTAACCACTGGACCGCCAGGGAAGTCCTGGTGGGAACTTTTGAATCCTGCCATTATCCTCTGGAACTATAAAAATATAGTAAATCTCTGTTATAAGATTATTATCATTATGTGGTTGTCTGCATGTGTTTCTTACATAACCGGTTGTAGTCCTTTCCCAGCCCATTGAAGTTAGTAGATATATACTTATTAAGCGCCTGTTAGCTGTGGATATAGAGCCAACGTTATTTTAAAAGGATTCTTCTGGACTAACAAGTCAATCAGATAAAATCTCAATGGGCTATCGCAATTGAGAAATACAATTAAAAATGAGTTTGCATGTTGGTTTCAGATACGTTGGGAAAACGGATTCTATAACCATCAGCGTGTGGAACCACAAGAAAATTCACAAGAAGCAGGGAGCTGGCTTCCTGGGGTGCGTGCGGCTGCTCTCCAATGCCATCAGCAGATTAAAAGATACTGGATGTAAGAACCCAACGTTTTTCTGCCTCTTAATGCAACTGAAGAAGGCTTATGGGGCATCATTTTTTATTTTATTTTTTTGAATACTGAATACAGAATTCCTGCCTTCCTCTCTAGTTAACATTTCCCTGGGTTAAGTTTTGAATTGTTTGTTTGCAGACCAGCGTTTGGATCTATGCAAACTAAACCCCTCAGATACTGATGCAGTTCGTGGCCAAATAGTGGGTAAGAACTTTCTCATCTGTATAAAGAGATAATTTTTACAGACTTAACCTTCAGCTCTTCATCACTGAGAAAACACATAAAGGCACTGACCGATGGTGACATACTTCGAAGGACAGGCCCCATACAGGGGCCATCTCTCCAGGACTAAACAATTTCATCTTATGTGGTTTTTATTATTTTATCTAATTCCCTTCATTCTGTCATTCAAGGTGGAGTTAAAATGACTAAGGTACAAAAAGATGTAGGGTTATAATTTGTAATGTAATTTTAATCATCACATGAGTTGACAATTTGTCATATTATCCAAGTGCAGATGGTAAAAATGGTGGCCACATATGCAAGAGTTAAGAAATAGTTTCTTCAGGAGGACCCATCACATATGTAAAAGGCAAAGAGAATTTCTGAAGACTTCCATGTAATATGATTTTACAGAGGACTGACTTATTTAGAATGAAGAAATAAAATGTGCTCATGTCATAAAGCGTTGACTGGAGGTATTCCATTGGAAGTAATTTATCTGTTAAGTAGCTCATCCTGTTATCCATCTCATTTTTATTAGCATTTCAGGGTAACCCACATATTGACTGTATGCATTGCAAGCAATCAAAGAAAACAGTATTTCAGCAGCACACCAGAGTGACTTGTGGCCCCAAATCTTTTAGGTATTGTCTTATGTAGACCTGACCCAAGATAAATGGACAGTGGATATCCATCTGAAAACTCCTGTCATGACAGAGTTCCCACTGACTGCCTTTCTATTTGTGATTTCTTCTTTTCTTTGTGGAGGGATGTGCCGGGGAAAAGTGAATAACTGGAAGCAGCTTCATAAGTGTCTTTGTTGTTCATAGTAGGGACAGAGAATCGACACGTAGGTGCATCCAGACCTTGCACATACTGACAGTGCTCTCTGTGTCCTTATTAAACATAAGTCAAAATCTTCTTAAAATATAAGGTACCTTGGAGGAAGTGAAATTGTGTTCTGTTATTTTGATGAAGGGCACAGACAACACAGCATCTCTTTCTGCTCCACGTTTACAAGGAGTGTTCCAAGTGGTATGCGTTCTGTGCAGCCAATGAGTGAGATGCTTCATACTTGAAAGCATAGGAATGTATATGTGTATGTATAGACATATGCCTCACTTTTTAAAATAATATCATACATAAATTACACATTTGCAATGGCTCACTGTGTTACAGTTGTATAAAATACCACTGGATTTTAATGCAGGATGTTCTTTTTTTTTTAGTCAGTTTACAGACACGAGACAGAATAGGCACTGGAGGGTCCGTGGTAGACTGCAGAGGGCTGTTAGAAAATGAAGGGTACGTATCACTGCAGCGATGCCCACTGAGTTCTCTGCTGCCCAGGCTCTCGCACTGTATGAAAGTTTCCTTCACACCTTTTCAATGCGTTGAATACTTGAGGTGCAGTCTTGGGATAACACTGGGATCCAGTTTCCTCGTTTGTAAAGGAAGCTGTCAAAACTAGTGGGGTAGTGCCCCAGAGGCTCAGGATCCAATTTACAGAGGTTCCCACTGGCCAAAGAGCATCAGTAAAGAATTATAACTGCAGTGGATTAAAGCAATCCATTGAGTTCATAATGATACAGGGAGAAATAAATTCTAAAAAACCCAAGAACCGAAAAACACCCTCAAAAATTCTCATTGGTCACTATCACAATTTTTCAATTCCCCAATGAGTTAACTATTAATGTCATTAATAGTTGCTGACAACATCATGAAAGAGGGATAATCTGACATGAACTTACATCTTGGAGGTCCAGGGGACGGGAATGGGTTGCACAGCCCCGGGGATAAACTCCATCCAGAGGGGGACACCCTGTAGAGTGCAGCAGACAACCTGGTGTCTTGAACAAATACACTGCAAGAAAACTAACTAAAAAGCAAGGAAGAGAACCTGTAAGTTAATAAAAGAGATTTAAGGGACATACCTATTAAATGCGGTGTGTGGACCTCGTTTGGATCCTGATTAATGAGACAGTTGACTGGAGAAATTTGAACACTGACTGGTATTTGATGATATTAAAAAAATTAACGTACATTTTTGGGGTCATGATAATGGTAAAAGGCCTATCTTCCAGAGGTCTGTGCTGAAATATTTAAGGATGAAATGGTAAAATGTTGGGATTGGTTTCAGAATAATCCAGCCCAGGGGGGAGGAGTTGGGCGTGTGGCCACGAGACAATCACTGGAGCTGGGTGATGAGTCCAGGGCATTCACTGAACTAGTCTCAATGTGTGTGTCTCTTTGTACTTTTTCAATGTAGAACGTTTTTCAGAAGTACTTGCTTATAAGGGAAGATAGCCTATTAAGGTAAATTGTCTCCACAATTGTTCAGGGGATCAAGATTTATGTTAAAAGTCACTTTTAAAGTCATTGTGGTATTTTATGTAACCAGGAGTTCTATTATAGAATAAAATGACAAGGAAAATGGAATGTTTGGATATGATTCTGAGTCAAGAAAACTGAAATCTCATTTTCTGAGCTCCTTATAGTACAAGGTTGGTTTTTTCCAACCGTTTGGCTCTGCCTGAGGATGAAATCCTACGAGTGGCCTCAGTGGCACTTTACACATGGCTCCCTTTGGTCACTGGCTCCTCATGAAAAAGTCTGGCTTTCCAATTAAATAGGACAGGACGAATTATATGAAACTAAGCACTGGGGACATTCTATCATATTGCTCAAGAAAAGCAAAACAAATGGAAGTGAGAGCGTGGCATGGAACTTACGGGTGCTTCTCGGTCTTCAGCCGGTATTGTGATGTGGGCTGTGGTCTTCCCCTTCTAGAACTGCGTATGAAGACTCAGGGCCTGGAAGGCCACTCAGCTGCTTCATGGAGGAACCAGCCCCTTACACGGATGGCACTGGGGCTGCTGCTGGCGGGGGTGGCTGCAGGTCTGTGGAATCCCCGAGTCAGGATCAAAGACTTCAGGCCCAGCGACTGCGAAGTCCTGAGGTCCGAGGGTCACTCCAGACGCCGCAGAACCGACCTCACGGCCACCAGTCCCCGGAACTGCCCGAAGGCTACGGTGAGAGCACCCACCCCTCTGTCCCGAGAGCGATCGGTGATGTTTCAGACAGCTTTAATGTTTTCAGCTTTTTTTAGTGACTCGTACCTGCCAGAAGTGCTGAAGTGTGCAGAGGTGTGCCCCACGATGGTTGTGTCAGTGTAAAGAAAAGTAACCCGAGATGGTTGACAAATCTTGCTTGTCATGAATTTGTCCACAATTGCTCCAATCTCCCAGTGTAGCAGTTGTGTGAAGATTTTAGGCAAATGAATATCAAAGAAAACCGAGAGGAGTGGGGCAGGGGCCTGGATGGGGGTATTTGTAGTGCCCTGGGATTTGAACGTGGGGAGGACGGCCTTGGGTACTGAGTGAAAGGATGGGACCTTTTGACAACCACAGAGGGAGCACCTAAATGCAGGAGGAATCCATCTAGATGTGGCAGATCAGACCGGAAGTAAGAGCTAATGCAGGGGACAGAGGTCAAGGTAGGGTCAGTCCCGAGGTGGCAGGTCCAGGGGTGTGGCCGCCCCTCCAAGTGTGAACAGGAGAAGTAAGGTCCACCAGGGCTTGTGACTCGCAGATGCCAGGCAGAAGTTAACTGCTGCGCTTCAAACCCTTCTCTCGGTGCTTTTAAAGACTGTTGGAAGGAAGCTGGGACTCTGTGCTTACAGGATTGGTTGAAAACTCTCTTTGGAATTGAATGTAACTACTGTATCCCCCACTTTCTCATGCAGAACAGAGAACAACGGTGCAGGGGCAGGTTTACTTCCTGCACACGCAGACTGGAGTTAGCACGTGGCACGACCCCAGGATACCCAGGTAAGTTTCCTAAAATTCTCACCATCAAGGCCATTTTCCAGCAGTTGCCTGGACCCCCCCACCCCGGACTGTGGGTGATAGAGCCCCTTTGGTGTGAAGATGTGAACTTGGAAGAGGAGCAGCACAAACAGGGACCTGTAACAGGGGTGCTGGACTCAGACTCTCTGGGCGACGGTCCCAGCTCTCATGCCACCCCCACCCCCCCGTCCCTGACTCTCCAGCTGGTAGATCAGCAGCTGCCGTAATGCAAGGGGGCCCTTTAGAAAGCAATCCTGGATCTTGAAATTAGATCATGTAACTGCAAAAGACCCTCAGCCCTAGATTAAATCAAATGCACTTACTTAAAAAACCGATAAACCCTTAAAGATGTGTTGCTCTCATTCTAAACTAAAAATATTGCTGGGCGAAATGATATGATGTCTGATGTGATGCTTTAAATAATCGGGGTGGGGAAGCGAACAGGGGAGCATTGGAAACAGGTTGGCGATAAGCTGGTAATTGTTAGAGTTGGTTATTCATTATGGTCTCTCTCTCTATTTTTATATGCTTAAAATTTTCCATAATAAAAAGCTAAAAAGGAAATATAAACTCTATTACCTTCCTTCTACTTTACTCCTCCTATTGCCTCAGTCCCTTGGGGACTATTCCTGGGGGAGATGAAGCTTTTCTATACGAATTCCTTCTACAAAGCCATACATCTGAGCCCAGGTCAAAGAGACCCCTGCCCCACCCCCACCCCGTAATGGAATTGTTTCTTTTTTTCTCTTTGCTTTGCTTTCCTTTAAAAAATTTTTTCTTTTGTTTCAGAATAGCATTACTTCCCAATATTTGTAGTAATGCTCATTTCCTTTTTATTCATAATTTGTTTCATCTGAGAACAAGCTTACTGTCTTTGATTTTCCAAATCTGTGTTGAATTTACAATTCAGTATCTGTAATTAGAATGGAAATATTACCTGCAAATGAATGAGGTGTCTCTTTAGTACTCACTGGAAGGAATGTCAGGCTTTGGTCCTGATTAGAAAAGCATCTTGGTCAGTAATGCTGTGCTCCCAGATGACTGTGGAGTATACTGAAATAATGAATCAAGAGGTTAGAATTAGAAAGACTTGCTTATTAACAAAGCCAACTCAAAAAGGAGATGGCCTCTTCCCGGTGCAGATGTCTAGAATTGGAAGATTTTGAATGCATGTTCATACATCCCCATCAGCTTGAAAAAACTTGTACTGTTTGGGAGCTTTTCCATGCAGAAACCTTTCTGACCTTGAGCATTGAATTGTGAATCCAGAGAGTTTTCCAGCAGCCTTCAGATACTTCCTACTACTTTCGCCCTCTTTCATGGAAGGAATGGTACTCCCCAGGCAGACCACATTCCCTATCATGGTCACAGGCTCTGAGGGTTGCGGTTTATCCGTGGGACTGTGCTGCTACTTGGAGCACAGAGGCCTGGGCTCAGTGCAAGTCTGGCGTAAGTAGCGCCGCGACTGTCCCTCTTAGCAGGGCCGGGACACGGCCCCTGGATAAGGGGATGCCCCGGGTTCTCTCACAGAAGTTTTGGTCTTAGGCCTCCACACACAGATGGACGAGCCTCTCTGTATCTTCCGTTTTGGTAGAGACCTTAACAGCGTGAACTGTGATGAACTTGGACCGCTGCCACCCGGTTGGGAAGTCCGAAGTACAGTCTCCGGGAGAATCTATTTTGTGGATCACAATAACCGAACAACCCAGTTTACAGACCCACGGTTACACCACATCATGAAGTAAGACTTTACCAAATCTCTGTTGACCTCGTTAAAATTTCATGTTTTCTACTAACTTTTTCCTTCATTTCTTGATTGCATTGTTGGTTAGCAGAGAATAAGCGTAAGCAAAATATGATAAATATTTGGTGGACAATTGCGTTTTAAACTCTCAAGCCGCTGTGAGCAGTACTGAAGTCCTATGTTGTTGTCACCCTGTTCTAGCTTGCAGCCTAAATAAAATCCCGAGCTGGCAGTATGGGGCAGCTGCACTCACGACGCTTCCGTGGGCAGCACTCTGATGGGATACATGGCCTTAGAGAAGCAGTGAAGTGAGGCTTTCCTTGGTGCCCGCTCACCACTGTCTGGGAGGGCTGATCCAGAGCACTGCTTGCTGGAACCTCTTCCCGGGCCATCATTCCCGGGGGCCGTGGACCTGGGTATGACCTTGGCTCCCACACTCCACGTTCCAGGTTTGCTGTGTCCTCAGAACATGAGAGCCCACGGGGCAGTTGTCATTGACAGCTGATTACAACCGGCAAAACTTGAACAGGACAGATGCTACTGTGTCCAGAAGGTCTCTGGGCTTCTGCCTTTGATGAGTGGGCTTGGAAATCTCTTGGTTATGAGTAGGAGTAGTTATCACTGCATTTCACTTGTTTGCTCCTGTGCATTTTGCCCCCCTCCATGGTTATCTGCTTTGAAAGTTCTCTCGTCAACTCCATTTAACTCTCACCCCCAAGGCACATCTAATAGCGCGTTGGTCAGGCTCACAGATACACACTAGATGCACGATGAATGCTAGCAGTTTCTGTTTTTACTTATGGCAGTGATAATGTATGAGATACGGAGATGGAGGGTCTCCTTGACTGAATCCTAGACATCTATTTAGCCTGAGGGTGGCCACCAGCAGTTTTTCCATAAGAAATTTTGACTAGCAGTTTGCTGAAATGACTGCCCCTCTCAGTCCCTTTGTGCGGGTGCACTGCTGGCAGCAACCTTGGCTGCCGCTCTTGGGGCGACCTCGGTGCTTCTTTTCCTCTGCAGTCACCAGTGCCAACTAAAGGAGCCCAGCCAGCCGCTGCCACTGCCCAGTGAGGGCTCCGTGGAAGACGAGGAGCTTCCCGCCCAGAGATACGAGAGAGATTTAGTCCAGAAACTGAAGGTCCTCAGACACGAGCTCTCGCTTCAGCAACCCCAAGCTGGTCATTGCCGCATCGAAGTATCCAGAGAGGAAATATTTGAGGTACGGGGTTCGGGCACAGAATCTTCCTCCCTGTCAGTAGACAGTGAGTTCTGCTTTCTGTCTGGTGTTTCAGAGACTGATTTTATCGCTCAGTGAAATGCAGTTCCCTCTCTCTGAAATGAAATGCAGAGAGAGGGAACTGTATTTCCTCCTGTGGTAAAAAGGTTTAAAAATCAATGACTTCTGAGTGAAAAGGTAGAGATCTGTACAGAAACTAGTACTAAATAATATTGTAAATCCCTGCGCCCGCGTTGTACAGATTCTGCTTCCTGCCATCCGCACGGTTTCCTAGAATCGAGCATTCCTTCTGCTGCAGCCTTGCATGCAGCCTCCCCTCGTGGCGTTGCCTCCTCAGAGAAGCTAAGTGGCCTCCCTGTTGTCCCTTCTGGAAGGAGGAAGAACTGATGGTTCCGGGCAGGGTTCTGGCCTTTGTCCAGCTCCCCTGCAGGATCAGGGTCCCTAAACAGGCAGGGCCTTTGATAGGCAGGGCCCGTTTCTCGGGCCCACGATAATGAGTAGAATCTCAGCTGTGTCTGGGCCTTTGTGGAATCCTTGGCAGAAATGATCAAACGAGACACAGATTCTCACTGGGCCGCAGCAGCTGAGGGGGCCGCAGAGGGACCGGGGCTTGGGCACAGCCCGATGAGTGGATCAGCTGAAGTGCCTGATTTTGCCCACTGAGCATCGTAAATGTTTGTCGGGGATAGAGAAGAGCTGAATTCTTGAGGTGCTGCTGCCAGATCGTTTCCACTCAGCGTCCTCGTGCCTCTTGGGATCCAGCTTTTGAATTACGTTAAATCTGAAGCCAGAAAAGATCCTTAAGTGCCTTTTCACTGAAAATACCTACAGACATTTAGCTGGTTCCACTCCAGATGCTGAATCTGAGGGACTATTAGGCTGACCGCATGTTTTGTGTGTCTGGTAAGCTGCTTTATGTCTTACTTAGACTCTCCTTGTTTTTTTTGACTCCGTGGGAAAGTGTGATTTTTGACTTCAGTTGTAAAATCAGGCTCAGAATTCTTTTAGTATTCGGACTCTCTTGTGATGTCTTCATTTTGGTTAAAATATATCAATTATTTATAGCACACATTGGAATTAATTTGTGCAGAGAAAATCAACCCTAGCGAGGATGTTCAACTCTTAAGTTATGATTGTGCCGAGAATAAATGTATGTTTCCTTTAGGTACAGTATCACCTGCCATGTGCTTTGCTGTTTCCGAGGGAGAAAAAGTGAAGGAAGCAGCAATGTCCTAGGTGCCAAATAAACATTCTCAATAGGAACCAGACAAAAATCAGATTCAAAGGCTTAAAAATAAGCTCAGATGCTTATTTGTAATTGAGCTCCATTATAAATAACCTTTCATCATTTTATAACTTTAAAAATAAGATTAGCTCTTCTCCCTGAAACTGTAATTTTGATGTGCAGGAGTCTTATCGCCAGATAATGAAGATGCGACCAAAAGACTTGAAAAAGCGACTGATGGTGAAATTCCGCGGAGAAGAAGGTCTGGACTACGGCGGGGTGGCGAGGTGAGAGGCCCGTGCGCCCCCCCGCGCGGATTTGAGCGCGCCTGTGAGCAGATATGTGCAGAGAAGTCGTTTGCCCCTTTCTGGTGCCGGTCTCGGAGCAGTCAGGACTTCAGGTGTTGCCATCAGAGAGCGTTCTTAGAAAAAGAATTCATAAGAGCATGTGCCACGCTAGCATCTTGCCGTGACCCATCAGAACGCGTGTGCGCTTCACCATCACTTTCCTTCTTAGAAAGTATGAATTATTAAACTTCTGCCCTTACTCCCTTCTCCATGTGGCCCGACTGAACCCGAAGTTAATACGGAGGCAGCCTTGCTTCTCTCACTAGAGGACTTTCAGGGGTGGGAGGAAGGCATATACGTTGCATTTGTGTCAAACAAGTTTTGTAAAACGAGATTTTGGTCAAAATAGTTCATGCAAATGATTTTAAAGATAGTAGCTTTTCATGATTATATTCTGTTTCCTGTCTTACCTCTTTTCACCTTTGAGACAACGGTTCTTCTGCTCTTTTAACTGTTTCTTCTAATATAACCAACCATCTAGATCACCAACTCGATCAAGTTCTGATGTTATCTACTGAATTCATGATGTATGGTCATAGGCACAGATAGACCAGGTAATGGTTGTGGTGAGGATCTAATTTAATACTCCTCAGTTTTGTAATATCAGTATTTTTAGTTCTTCTATCATTGTCTTTGTAACTTTATATAATGTTTTTTCACCATTATTTTTTCATGGTCAGCTAGAGACATTATCTCTTGACCTCTCTTTTTCATACGAAAAGGATATTAGTACTCCTGACTCTCCCTTCAGCATTCCTTCCACCTCTTACCTCTTACATTCTGTCATCTGTAGTATCACTTTTATATTGTCGAGGTTGAAGATTTACATTTTGTTCTGTCACCAAAATTATTAAGTCGGTCTCTTGTGCTTGTCTACCTATTATTTATAGGAGTTGAAAAATCAGTACATTGTTTTATATTATTATGACAATGTAAATATTGCTCATTGAGGGATTAAGTGGTATTCTATCATTTAGTTTATCCTTTTGAACAAATTTTAATTTTCCCGAGAATTTCTTCTTCTTCTTTCTTCTTTTCTTAAAACCAGGTCTTGTCTCTGTTGCCCCATTAAACTTCACCTTTGGCCATCCTCACGCACCCCCTTTGCTCCATGTATCTCTCTTGTGGAGACTCTGTCCAGACTGACTGCTGACTCTCTGGACCTGCTGCAGTTGTCTTCATGGGACTTCACTACTTTCTTGGCTTAGAGCCATTGTTGTACGGGTCCTATGGCTTCCTCTTTCTTGGCTTACTCCATTATGTTACCGGAATATATCCTCAAGTAGCTTTCTTAGAAGGGGTGTGTGTGTGTGTGTGTGTGTGTGGCAGGGGGATTTTCCAAGATCTTGAGTCTGAAAATGTCTTATAATCTACAGTTTGACTGGTAGTTTAGCTCTTTATAGGCTTCTAGAAGGAAAACAGTTCTCATTCAGAACTCTGAAGACACTGCTCCACTGCTTCTCAGCACCCAGAGTCACTGTCGGAGAACAGTCTGGCTTTGGGCACGTCTAATTTATTTGACCCCATCCATGGCCACCCATCATCCATAGGTTCCACCACCTTTTTTCTGTTTTTCACGCCCCTCCTGTCTTCACTTCCTCCTTACCTGTAATCCACCATCATAATCGCTCCCTTATGCCCCCTCATAACTTCCTTGCCTCTCTTTCCGTTTGCTGTGTTTACCTGGCAAAATCCCAGCTCTGAAGATCCCCTCCTCAGGCTGCTCTGAGCATTGCCTGAGCGGCTGAATGTGGCTAGAGGCGAACACACTTCCATGCTGCTGGCCTTTCTCTGCATCGATAGCCACCGGCCGCAAGGAGGGTTCAGCACCTACTTCAGTTCCCCGTAGGTCTCTTTCTCAGATCTCTGGCGTCACTTCCACCCATCCTCACTCTTAGCTGCTGACTTTGCTTCCTATTTGACTGAGGAAACAGAAGCAATCTGAAGGGTCTTTCCTCACTGTCACCACCAGATATTGAGTCTGCCATTGTCTGTACTCGTATGGTCAGACTTCCCCGCCATGGCCTTGAGTGGCGCATGCATGTCCCTGTATAAGAGCAATCCTGCCCCTGGCACAGTGCATCCCAGGCCCTTGTGCTTTTCCTGTTATTTCACTTCTATTTCTTTTCATCAAAATGTCCCTTTCTCTTGGGTCATACAAATGTGCTATGGCAACTCCTTCTTAAAAGAAACAAACATGCCCCCCCCCCCCCCCCCCAACCTTTCCCCCTTCTCCAAAGAAACACCTTTTGGGGGAAAAAGACTGAAAGCCAGAGAAGGCATATTGATTTTTTTTTTTTTTTTTTTTTTTTTTTTTTTTAAAAAGCA